AACTAAATCAAATACTAACCAGCAACATTAATAGAGCGTTCACCTTTGTAAGACAGAAGTACTTTGAATTTGGGGACAAGCCACATAAGTTGTTAGCTAGACAGCTAAAGAAGTTAGAAAATGACAGAATGATTCACAAAATTAGATCACGCAATGGAAACCTGGTTACATCACATAAAGACATTAATGATAACTTTAGACAGTTTTATGAATCTCTCTATACTTCTCATTCCACTGCAGGGCCTAAAGATATGCAGGACTTTTTAGATAAGTGTGACCTCCCTGTGTTAGATCAGGTGGATCGCAAGATTTTGAACGCCAAGATTACAAAGGAAGAAATTATTAAATCTATCGGTTTATTAAAAAATGGTAAGAGTCCAGGCCCAGATGGGGTTAGGGAATGAATTTTACAAACAGTTCAAGATTAAACTTGTTCCATATCTTGATTAATGTTTCAAGTAGGAAACAGTGATGAGAAAACTGAAGAATAAAAAGCTTTAAATGAAAAAAAATAATGGAGTAATTCAATCAATACTTGAAAATTTACTGTATAATTAATCAGTCTATATTCGAAGCTGCCATCCAAGCTTCTTTTGGACAAGATTTATTTCTCTGTTGGAAAGTGGAAGGACTTTATTATTACATGGTCTGTGATTTTAATCCAGTCCACACTGTGTGAGTATTAATGGTGCTATTCTCTTTTGAGTGCCATTTTTGACTTGTATTTTTTGGCACTTACTTAGCAATAAAAGTTAGTTACTGAATCAGATGGATGCACAGAGTGAGATTCTAAGAAGACTAAAACTTAATGAAATATGATGATTTCTAAGCAAGACTTAGAAGCTCATGTTCAGCACCATCATAAAATAAGAGCTGCTCTCCATGAACACTAAATATTTCGGTGCATACCTTTCGTCTATATTTGCATAGATTTAGGCATTATAATCTAAACATAAAAAAGCCCCCCTCTTAATAGTCAGAGGTACAGTTAGCAGCTATATGCTGTTAGTAAAGTCTGTAACACAATAGAAGTACAAAGTAATCCAGAAAAGTCTGAACACACCACGCTATCCTTCAAAATTAGTACGTCATTAGTATTTATGAATATATGAATAAATTAACAAATTACATATACAACCCAAATTTAAAAAAATAAATTAATTGAAACTGAAATCTCGTAAACACATTTTCCCTTACAATAGAAGACAGAAACCATATCAAACATTTGAACTGAGAGAGTTTACCATTTTTGGAAAAATACCTTCTTTTTATAAAAGCTTTCCAGCAGCTGCTCTGAAATGTTGTCAGACAAAAGATTTTACCTGCTCAACAATCCTGGGTCGTCTCGCGGCGTTTTTTATTTCATGATGCCCAAATGGTTTGGTGCAGTTAAGCCAGTTCAGCAGTCAGACTCTTTTACTATGACGCCATGATGTTGTTATAGATGCAGTGTTTAGCATTGTATTGATTAAATATGCAAGGCCTTCCCCAGATGGGAGCATGTGTTACTTCGAGCTTTGGCCCAGAGAAGAGGGCAGCATTTCTGGATCATGTTCACATCTGGTTTGTTATTTGCATGATAGAGCTTTTTGATGGCACAGACGATACTTCTGGAAGGGTTCGTGAACACATGCAGTGTCTGCACACCAGGATGATGTTTTTTTTCCTAATGCAGTGCTGCCTGAGGACCCAAATATCATGGGCAGCCACTGATCTTTAGATTTTCTCATTTATTTATTTTTTTAATACAGACACTCTGAATATCTGATGATCTATCATACATGATGACATAAAAATTCAAAGTCTTCTTTATTATGTTGAATGACATTCTGAAATGAATTCCCAA